ACAGGATTTCCCTGTAGCCCCAGCTGGCCTAGATCTCACTGTGGACCACACTCAATCTCAATGTGGACCATACTGGCCTCAATCTCACAGAGATCCTCTTGCCTCTGCCTCCTGAGCGCTACAGTTAAAGGCATGTGTTACCACACCCAACAAAGTTTAATAACTTTAACTACCATAATAGCTCTCACTTCTGTCCCCATTTCTACCTAGCATTGTCTTAACTCACCCCTTCCTTTCAGGCAGTCCTTTGCAGTGACTCTCTCCTGAACTCCCTAAAGGTCATGGACTTTGAAATCAGACAGATAGATCCAAGGTCACTTTAAGAAGATAGCCCTTACTAGTTGTCATCATCATGATCATCATCATCATAATAATATTGTCACTTTGACCAAACCTAGACATACCTAGGATGAGGAAATCTCAGTTGAGAAATTTCCTCCTTCAGATTGGCCTATGGGCATTGGGGAGGGGTGGGCATTTTTTGGTTGCTGGTTGATGTAGGAGAGCCCAGCACACTGTGGACCGTACTCTCTCTGGGCTATGTAAGAAAGGTAGCTGAGCAAGCCAGGGGAAGCAAGCCAATAAGCAGTGTTCCTCTGTGGTCTCTGCTTCAGTTCCTGCCTTGGGTTCCTCCCTTGAATTCCTGCCTTGGCTTCCTTGGGTGATAAACTGTAATCTGTAAGTCAAACAAACCCTTTTCCTTCCCTAAGTTGTTTTTAGTCTTGGTTTTTATCACAGCAACTCAGAAAGCAAACTGGAGCACTAGTTATCTGACTTAAAGCAAATTATTTAACCTCAATTTACAGATGGAAAAAGTCAAGACACAGAGAAGTTAGCTATTCCTGTTTTATGAAATACCCTGTTTTGAAGGACATATAGGACAGTGTATACTCAGTGAGAAAGGCAGTCAAATATTATTTCTCTTTTTCTACTGTTAATCTCTTTATAACCCATTAATAGATTATTATGCTTTAAGCATAGCTTTAATAATACCAATCTCCTATTCTTCAGTGATTCTTCGTTATCTAATTTCCCATAATGCTTAGCAGTATTCAGACTATTGATTTGCTCCAGTCTCCTTTTCTGTCTTTATTTTCCATTCTCTCTACAAACCATCCTTTAAATCAAACAAAACCACTAGCTGTGTCCTATAACAGAGTAGTTTATGAGCATGATTTTTAGACTGGGGCTGTAGCTTGACTGTAGAATACCTAGGTGTCTACCATGAGAGAGAGATAGAGACAGAGAGAATGAGAGAGAAAATGAGAATCTATAGTCAATCTACCTATATTAAATACTAGTTTGCTTGTGACCATGGACAGACATATTAATTTCTCTAAACCTTCATTTCCTCTTCTGAAAGATACAGGGAACCTAAGGGCCTGTTAAACTAGGTACCTGACGATGGAGAGGATCCAACTCTCAGTGGGAAGAGGTGTTTTCATTTCTGTACTCAGGGCCTTTTCTCTGCATGGAATGTAGTTGTTGGCCTTTGAACCCAATTACATTGTATCCATCCTCAGAGGTCTTTCCTGGTTCAGATCACTCCTTCCCACTGCTCTGTCCTTCCTCTTCAACATTCTTTACCACTTTTATGTTAGAATGCATGCTACTTTCATATATTTCCTTGTTCTATCTTCTTTCAGCACTCAGGAGGCAGAGGCAGGTAGATCTCTGAGTTCAAGGCCAACCTGGTCTACATAGTGAGTTCCAGGACAGCTGGGGCTACAGGAAGACCATGTCTCAAAAAGACCAAAAAAAAAAAAAAAAAAAAAAAAAAAAAAGAGTAACAGTAAGAAGCTTCTCTGGTGAGAGTTGAGAGATGCATTAATCTGTGGGGATAACTACATCATAAGGAGTCAGTTCAATACTATGTGCATTTAGGAGAATAATAATAGCAGATTCTTCCCTATAACCTGTGACCTGTCTAGCCACAGGCTCCTAGGGCTGATAACACTGCCAGGTATGCAATGAACTGAGCATGTGCAGAAAATAAGAGGCTATGTATTACTTAGCCCTGAATAGGACACCTATATCACACTTTTTCCTCCCAAGGCTCAGGATCATTGTGGAAGAGGGGGAGGAAAAAAATATAAGAGCCAGAGATAGTGGATAACTATAAGGAAAGTATTTTCCAGACAGCAAGGCATTTACTCATATGAACTCATAGTAGTTGTGACAGTGTATAAGACCTGTGTAACCTCGAGCCAGACAAAATCCCAGCATGAAAGTTGGGAGGTGGGCAAAAAGCCTCAACCTTAGCTGAGGAGCTGTTGAGAACTGATAGCTCCTGGGAAGAAGAGTCAGTTTTCTTTCTACCTAGCTGTAATGCTGGGTAGGTTCACCAGGCTCCAGGGGTTGGACCCACATGCAAGAATATTTTGGGGACATAAATTAGGCTCAATAGGCCTTAAAAAATAATAGAGGGCATGAAATTGGGTGTGGGGGTGAGTAAGGTAGGGGTAGGAGGCAGAAGAGGGAGTCTGAATATGATCAAAATACATTGTCTGAAAGTCTCAAAAAAGCAGTAAAAATATTAAAATAAACAGAACCAAGAGTAGCAGTGCCTTGAAGGCAGAGTATGTAATTTGTATTTTGTATCTCCTGAAGCATAGAATATTACAGTCATGCCCAAAAGCCTGTGCTGTTGTGAACAAATGCATTAAGTCATGCTGACCAGTAGCTCTTTGGTTCCCAGGGATTTAGTCTTACCTCTTTTGGAACTTTTTTAAACTCTGTGAAAATCATTTATATATGTTGAGAAAATTTTAACTTTGTTGTGGAAAAATGTCATTATTGGGTTAAAGGAGGCTAATTAAAAGGCATTGTAGTAGAAGGTGGTTGCAAAACAAGCAAACAACTGCAGGTGATACTGTGTTGGACTGAGGAAGCAAAACAAAGCCCTTTTTTATCATGTATAGCCTCTCATCTGTTATTGCTTCACATATACAGTATACCCAGTAGTGCCTGGCGTGGTGCCAAACTGAAGTATGCTACAGGCTTTTTTGGATAGCAGCAGACCTAAAATCTTTTACTGAGATTAAAAAAAAAAAAAGTAGCACACATAGCATAATACATCAAAATGTGGCTAAATATCTCATTCAGTTATTAAAATGATAAAATATCCTTCTGTAATGTCAGCCTCTTATATTTTGGACTGATGAAGTTTTCTTAATAACTCTTCTCAGAAAATAAGCAGAGGTCCCAGGAAAGGGTAAGATGAAGTGGGAAAATCACCATGGTAGAATTTCTTTCCCACAGTAAGTTGGCACAGTGCCAGCTGTCCTTGAGCACAGTGCTTACCTTGTCCTTGTTAAAGGAGGCATAGTACTTGCCTTTAATAATGTTGAAATAATTAATTCATAAATGGTATACTATTATTATAAAACAAGTGCTCTAAGGCCAAAAGGCAAGTGCTAGAAACTTCATAACTGATATGGACTTGTGCATTTCTTAAACAGATTTCCACCAACACATGAAAATTGTAATAACTTTCTGTTGAAGAACGACCACACCTTACCTGACCTTACAAAGCTAGAATTTTCATTTGTTTCGGGTTTTTTGTATGGTAACTTGTTTCATGTAGAAGTGTGATTTAATAGTTGTTGAGATGTCAGTTGGTTTTATTCTTGAGGCCTATTTCCTTTTTATGAAAGGGCAATTCCCTTCACTACTGAGAGAGGGTAGAGCAGGAGGGAGAGAAGCTATAAAATATGACTAATTGCTAGCTAGTTGGATAGATTTTTAAATTGTGACTTATTTTTCTACTGATAAAAGACCATGGTATCAATACTATACAGAGACATTGGGTTTTTAAGTCTCAGAGAAATTTAATGAAAGACTAGACATGGGCACAAAAGAAATTACAAAAATGTTATTCCAGACTAGTATTTTCTAAGATTTGCCTTTCTTTCTATTAATGTTCCACCTCATTAACTTCATTGTTGGACTTTTACACTTCAGTGGTTTAAATCAAGTAATGAAAATGTGGTTCTGTTGTCCTGTCTTTGCCAGTGTCCCTTTTGAAGTCTAATGATTATGTATTTAGTTTGTTTTCATTTAGACTCCATTGTTAGTTCTAACAAATAAAAAATGATCGTGAAAGGTAGTTACTGTATAAGTGAATATTTTATGCTGTTGAAGCCCTAAAAGCTAAGAGAATGTTTTTGTAAAGATGGTCACCTATTTAGCTGGTTTGTTCTTGTTTTTATTTTGTTTTGTTTCAATCATTTTTACCTTAAGTAGTATCCAGCTGGCCAGGAACTTCACAGCTGTAAGACTTCATTCTAGTGTAGAGTTCAGATTGATGATAATATATGGGCTTTCACATACAGCCGGTGGTATTTATAGCTCTGGACCCAAATGAGGCAGGCTCTGCCTAAAAGCAACCTATGCATATTCTTAAAACTGTTTTCCAAGCCTAGTGTGGTGGTACAAACCTTTAATCCCACACCCGGTTGGGGGGGGCGGGGGTGTAGAGGCAGAGGCAGGCAGGTATATCTTTAAGATCAAAGCCAGCATAAGGTTACAGGGAGACCCTGTCTTTTTTTAAAAAAAAAACAAAAACAAAACAAAACAAAAAAAAACAGTTTCCTAAACGTTTTCAGAAAACAGGAATTGTGAAGTGACTCTCCAAGCAGAGTTACCTTTTGCAGATATTTCTACTGACTTGCAAAGTATAGATGTATTTAGACAGTAAGGTGGGTTTTTTTTCTTGAATAATTTAGTGCCAGATTTGAATTCTCCTCAGCACGGTATATCCCAAATAGAAGTTAGAAGTGTCTGTTAAAAATGTAGAAAAAAAGGGTTGTTTTGAGTTCAGAATGGCGCTTTTTATATTGTCAAATATTTTGCATTTTAAAAGAATATTTAATTACTAAGAGACATTGTTTAAAATTACTGATATTTGGCCCTTCTAAATTGAACAGCAAATTTCCATTTCACATAAGTTTAGCCTGTGATACTAGTATTCATTTCTAACCATTTCTTTTCTTTTCTAGCTCATCAGCGACTGGAACCAGCAACTCTGTCAGGGGTTGTGGCATTTATCCTTAGTCTTTTATGTGGAGCTCTGAATTTAATTCGAGGCTTTCATGCCATAGAAAGCCTCCTGCAGGTACTGTGCTATTTTTGCCATTTCAGGTGACTATGCCTATTCATTCTCCTCGTTACATAATTAATTTGAATTGGATTAGGACTTAGTATAATTTACAGTGCTTGCTCAAAACCTGTGTTCCTATACCTGCCCTTCCCTGCCTTCCTTCAAAACCATGATTTCAGAGCCAGGCGTGGTGGTGATGCATGCCTGTGATTCCAGCCCTCAGGAGGCTGAGGCAGGAGGACTACAAGTTTGAGGCTGACCCAAACCACATAGTAAGCTCCAGACCAGCCTGGGTTTTATAGCAAGACCTGTCTCAAAACAACCAAATAAATAAAACCAGAATAATACTAAAACCAAGTACTGATTTCCAGTTGGCTTTTTTACTCCTTCAGCATATTTATCAAGTGCTCTTTTGGAGGCACTGTTGATAGGCACCCTGGAGACACCAAGATTTGTGTGACATGGACCCTGCATTCTCATAGTTTAAAGAGAATTTGGAGGCAAAGAATCTCGTAGTATTCAGAGCCAGAAAGAGGAGATGTTGGTGTCATCAGGAGAGGTGAAGAAAGCTTTGTGGAGAGATGGTGAGCTGGTACTGGCAGAGAGTGAGCAGGTAGAGAACAGTGGAAGTGGGAAGATTGCCCCCGTGGGTTGTGTTACTGTCCAGCCTCTGTGCATTCCTGTGTAGGTAGTCTCTGTGCCTTTTCCTTTTGGTCAGTGTCCTTTTTAAACCTGAGCTACCTGGTTAGGGAGAACATCACTAATTTCTTCAGATATTTCATTTTCCAGAGGGATTTCTTCCTGAGATGATCTATCAGAACTTAATAACCTTTCTCTTGTGCTTTCTCTGTGCTTCTTGGAATTTCCTTTCCTAAATACCTAGCATATTTGTTACACAGTTGTCCTTCCCATTGTTTCCATTTATTTTTCCCAAGAATTCTTGACACTGTCACATTATGAATCAGATCTGTGTCTGTATGTATCTTCAGCATTAAGTTCAGAATACCATTTATACAAACCTGCTTAGCAGTCTAGGTTTGTAGTACCATTCTAAATATCTTCTGGGTTCAGCCACCTAAAGCCAACAAAAAGTAGAAATGATATCACGGATTGTGAGAGCAGAGCTGTCCCAAAAGGGATGCATGGGGCTTCTCCTTTTCAGTTTCTCTTTCAAATACTTTGTTTACAAGTAAATCTCCTGTCTCCTTTCATGCATAGGATGCTGGCTCCCATCCCTCTACCTTCCTGTTCCTATCCCCCTGCCAGGTTGAATTTATTCCAGCAGAAGGAATTCAGTTTTCAGCCAACTAACAAGCTACCAAAAAGAAGAAATGGGTGATTGGAAACTGCTGACTGAAAAGCTAATAAATAGGTCTTTTGTTTTTCTAAATTTTATTGATGTGATACAAAAAACAGTAGGATAAGTGATGAAGAGTTGGTTTTTCTAGGTAGAGCGTGCTTGGCTAGAGAAAAGCTTTACTACCACAAAGCCATGTTTATATCCCTGTCTGAAAATAGTGTATGAGTTCTGGAACCTGGGATTTAGACTATATTGCCTATAAGTTAAGATAAAGACAAGGCTATCAATCTAAGAGAAACTAATTTTCTTCATGCAGTTGGTTTTCCTTTTTTGTCCTTCTTGGGCTGATTCTTTCCTTCTTTCTCTTCTAGCTCCTAACTTAAAAGCTGAAGAAAGTATTTGTATACTGTAGCTCTTCATGCTTTTGAAATGTTATAGCTGGCTTAAACCTTTTATTTCTTTTTTTTTTTTAATGTGTATCAGTGTGTTGCCTGCATGTATGTGAGTGCACCCATGTCGTGCAAGACCATGGAGGTCAGAAGAGGGCTTCGGATTCCCCTGGAACTGGAGTTAAGGACAGTTTGTAGCCGTCATGTGGGTGCTGGGAATGGAACCCGGGTCCTCTGCAAGAGCAGTTAGTGCTCTTAACCGCTGAGCCATCTCACCAGCCCCAAACCTTCTTTTATTTCTAATTGTCCTGTGTTCTCCTTCTCTAACCAGTAATGTATCTCATTGCAGGTGTTAGTACTTTTAGGTTCAGAAGAATAATCTGATCAAACTATTTCCCACTTATGTATAATTGGTTCTGTGATGTCTCAGCTTATTTATATTTTAAAAAGATAACTTTATAGACTAATTAGCTTTCTTGGACATAGATGCAGAAATTTTTAGCAATATATTAGCAAAGCAAATCCAGTAATGAAGAAAAGCAGTTACACAGCATAACCAAGTGGGATTTAGCGTAGCTGTACAAGGCTGATTCTATATTTGAAATAAATTATTTCAATCTATTACATCAACATACTGAAGAAAAATAGTAACCATATCAATAGATGTAGAAAGACATTTGAGAAAATCTAAAAATTTCCATCCATAATTTTAAAAAAAACCATGGAGCGGGGCTGGAGAGATGGCTCAGTGGTTAAGAGCACTGACTGCTCTTGCAGAGAACCTGGGTTCAATTCTCAGCACCCACATGGCGGCTACAAACCATCCTTAGCTCCAGTTCCAGGGGAATCCGAAGCCCTCTTCTGACCTCTGTGGCATTGCACGACAAGGGTGCACTCACATACATGCAGGCAATACAGTCATACACATAAAATAAAAATAATAAATAAAAAAAAATTTTTTAAATCATGGAGCAAACTAGGATTAGAGGGAAACTTCCTTACCTTAATAAGGAACATCAACCAAAAAATCCTGTGCAATTAATATCATCTTTAATGATGAGAAACTAAATAAAAACAGGGTAGCAGTGTCTCATCTACCACCTTTATTTAACGTTGTATTAGAAAGCCTCAATAACGCAATAAGAGGAGAAAAGGAAATAAAAGGAAATAAAATATAGACAGATTGAGAAGAAAAAAGTAAACAAGTTTACAGAAGTCATGATTATCTATATAGTAAATATCAAGACAACGAAAATATCTTCCTGAAACTAATAAGTGATTATAGCTAGGTTATAAGATACGGAATTAAAATGTACAAAAATTTCTTATTATGTGCTAGCAACGAACATTGAAATTTAAAAGTACCAAAAAGAGGTGCTTATAATATGCTTATAAATCTGGCGCTATATATACATATATACACACACACATATATACATATATATGATTCGTATAAAACAAATTCTAAAACTCTGACAAAAGAAATCAAAGATAAAAATGGAAAGAGATTACATATTTAGTGAGAGGAAAACTCAATATTGTTGAAGTGTCAGACTCAGAGTTTTATATCTGTCAAATTGATGAGGAGCAGGAGGTGTTCCCTATCAACTACTTCTCCAATACCAACTATATGTCCTACAATTTAACTCAGTTTCAGTACTGCCTACCTGTACATAGCACAGAACTCAAAAGCTAAGGACTCAGTTTCTTAAGATTGCTCTCAATTCTAATGCCAGTCAAAAGACCAAATTGTCACCTGTATTATGACCAACTGGTTATAAATTAGAGGTTCTCACAACTCCCTCTTTGGGTGTAATCATTTGCTGGAATAGTTTGTAGACTCAGGGAAACACATTGGCAGTTTATTTTAAGGGATATTGCAAAGGACACAGGTGAATAGCCATATGAAGAGATGCATAGGGAGAGATCTGGAAGGTTCCAGGCATAAGAGCTTTTGGTCTCACATGCCAATATGTTTGCCAACCTAGAAATTCACCAAACTCCATTCTTTAAAGATTTTTAGGAAGGCATGATTGGTTATGAACTTATTAGCTCCTCTCTCCTTCCTAGAAGATTGGGGTGGGGCTAAAGGTTCTAAATTTCTAATCATGGCCTGGTCTTTTTTGGTATTTATCACTGATCCAGGAATCTACCAAGAGTCACTTCAAAGCAAAAGATGTTTCTCTCACACTGGAAATTCCAAGGGACTTGGGAGTTCTGTGTTAAATCCTCCCGTAACTCAGGAAATTACAAGGATCTTAGGGTTCTTTAGCAGGACTGGCTTTAAAGACCAGTTAAGACAAAAGACTCTTCTAGTGCTTTTATTTATGGGGGGTTTAGGAGCCCTGTGTCATGAACAAGGGCCATATTATTTATTACCATTTCACACCCAGGATGATCTGCACAGTACTGATGAAGAATAAACTTGGGGACTCACATTGTCCAGTTTTAAGACTTACTGTAAAGCTACATTAATTAAGACAGTGTGATATTGGCAAAAGAATAAACAATGAATCAATGGAACAGAATAGAGAGCCTAGAAATATATTTACATCATGTAGTTAACTGATCTTTGACAAAAGAGCTAAAGCAATTCAGTAGAGAAAAGATTGTCATTTTATCATGCAGAACAACTGGAAATTCACATGCAGAAGAGTGAATCTAGACACAGGTCTTACAAATTTCACAAATATTAATTCAGAATGGAACTGAATGTATAGCACAAAGATTCAAATTGTTTTAAAAAAAAGTGAAGAAAAGAAAATCTCTATGACCTGGGGGTCTGGCAATGAAGTTTTGGATACAACACCAAAAGCACTATGAAAGAAAAAATGAATGTTAGACTTCATTAAATCTAACAAAGTCTGCTTTGCTAAGAGAATGATAGAAGAAGCTACAGACTAGGAAGAAATATTTGCAAGACATATCTGATAAAAGGGTTTAATTCTGTAGGGCTGGAGAGAGCTTAGCGATTAAGAGCACCACTTCTGTTCTTTCAAAGGACTTGAGTTTAGTTCCTAGGGCCCATGTTGGGCAGCTGACAACCTCCTGTAACTCCAACTCCAGGGGTTATAATGCCCACTTTGGGCCTCTGCAGGCACCCACACTCATATGTACATACACACAGAAACACTCACATAATAAATAAAAAATAAAATCTTTAAGGAGATGTGGGGCTTGATCCTAAAATATACAAAGAACTCTTTAAACGCAAAACTAAGAATACAGATCAGCCCAGTTAACAAATGATCAAAAGAGCCAATGGATACCTCACCAAAAAAGATAATACAGATGACAGATATGCACATGAAAAGATATTGGGCATC